GCCGATCCTGAAATTTGGTAGGTCGGATTAATTGGCCAAATTTGAAACCCATAGAAAATCCCAACTTCCTAACTTTACAAACACCAAAGTTATGGCATTTCCGATCAATCAGTTATATAGCAGCTATAGGATATAGTCGGCCGATCCTGAAATTTGGTACGTCGGATTGATTGGCCAAATATAAAACCCATAGAAAGTCCCAACTTCCTAACTTAACAAACAGCAGAGTTATGCCATTTCCTATCAATCAGTTATATGGCAGCTATAGGATATAGTCGGCCGATCCCGGCCGTTCCGACTTATATACTGCGTGCAAAGGAAAGAAGGGTGTGTGCAAAGTTTCAATTCGATATCTTTAAAACTGAGAGACTAGTTTGCGTAGAAACAGACAGACGGACAGACAGACGGACAGACGGACATGGCTATATCAACTCAGGAGGTGATCCTGATCAAGAATATATATACTTTATATGGTCGGAGATGTCTCCTTCACTGCGTTGCACACTTTTGACCAAAATTATAATACCCTCTGCAAGGGTATAAAAATTCGAATGTTTTCGAAAATGTTCTACCAAAATATAAAATATAAGTACTTGTAAATAAGCTTGCTCAGTGGATTCTTCGAATCAATAAATAAATAATGAAAAATAAAGCTAAAGGTATGCTTTGGTATCACACATTACTTAATTTATGTGCTTTGACCATATTTGTACTCGTAATGTGATTTCTAGCAATACCAATCTAAAACTTGTTGTTATCATCGAAGCACGGTTTGTTGTTGTTTTGCTGTTAAAAAATCATACGTTTTTGTCTTTGTCTTTCGGAATCCGAAATTATTGTTCTAAATTGAAGATGGAACTTTGACAAAAACAAAAACACATGATTTTCGAAATTGACCAAATTTTAAACTTGGTCGGACTGCAACATCTGAAACAAGAAAGGAAAGCTAACTTCGGGCGGAGCCGAAGTTGATATACCCTTGCAGAATACTCTGTAAATTATATTCTCCAAAATTATTCATATGATGCATTCTTAATACTCATAAAAAATCCGAACTTCCTAACTTTAACAACAACAAAGTTATGGCATTTCCAATCGTTCAGTTATATGGCAGCTATAGGATATAGTCGGCCGATCCTTATGAAATTTGATAGGTCGGATTGATTGGCCAAAAATAAAATCCATAGAAAATCCCAACTTCCTAACTTTACAAACACCAAAGTTATGGCATTTCCGATCAATCAGTTATATGGCAGCTATAGGATATAGTCGGCCGATCCTTATGAAATTTGGTAGGTCGGATTGATTGGCCAAAAATAAAATCCATAGAAAATCCCAACTTCCTAACTTAACAAACACCAAAGTTATGGCATTTCCGATCATTCAGTTATATGGCAGCTATAGGATATAGTCGGCCGATCCTTATGAAATTTGGTGGGTCGGATTGATTGGCCAAATATAAAACCCATAGAAAATCCCAACTTTCTAACTTTACAAACACCAAAGTTATGGCATTTCCGATCAATCAGTTATATGGCAGCTATAGGATATAGTCGGCCGATCCTTATGAAATTTGGTAGGTTGGATTGATTGGCCAAATATAAAACCCATAGAAAATCCCAACTTTCTAACTTTACAAACACGAAAGTTATGGCATTTCCGATCAATCAGTTATATGGCAGCTATAGGATATAGTCGGCCGATCCCGGCCGTTCCGACTTATATACTGCGTGCAAAGGAAAGAAAGGTGTGTGCAAAGTTTCAATCCGATAGCTTTAAAACTGAGAGACTAGTTTGCGTAGAAACAGACAGACGGACAGACGGACAGACGGACAGACGGACATGGCTATATCAACTCAGGAGGTGATCCTGATCAAGAATATATATACTTTATAGGGTCGGAGATGTCTCCTTCACTGCGTTGCACACTTTTGACCAAAATTATAATACCCTCTGCAAGGGTATAAAAAGTGCGAGATAAAAAATAAAATAGGCATGCGAAATAGACGAATTAATTGTACCACTAACCGAATCAGGGAGTCCAAATGCACGGAGTATAAGCCACTGTTATTGCCACAAGCCACTCTTAAATGTTGATGTCAAACTGTGACATTAAGCTCAATATCTGAAACGCGCTTATCGCTTGGTATTATCTTGTTTGCATCGCCATAGTGACAGATTCATTGAGGTTAGTAATTTGCATTGCAAAACGAGTACGAAACCGAAGCTTATCTTTCAGCATCTCGCAGCGAACCTCGGACAGTAGCCAGGAAAATATTGTCCAACCTATATCTATCAGTTTATATCGAGTTATTGCTCTACGTCCATTCTCTTTCCCAAGTAACTGAAGGCTAAATATAATAATCTGCAGACTTTAAGTGTTCAGAAATCGACTGCCGATTAAAAATTCGCGCAAACCTCTTTAAAGGAAACATTTTCTGGGTGCGACACCGTTAACAAATCACAATAATTGTTTAATGTGATCGCAGCAGAAAAACAGTTTAGTAAATAAAAATAATTGATTTTAAAGAAAAGTACTTTTAAAAGTACATCTTCTGGTTAAACATATCTGGCAGCGTTGTTAGCGACATATAATAATAAACTCAGTTAACGCAATAAATGACCATTAACACTTTTAAAACTAGTCTTGCCGTAGAAAAAATATTTTTTTTTGCTTATTTTTATACCCTTGCAGAGGGTATTATAATTTTGGTCAAAAGTGTGCAACGCAGTGAAGGAGACATCTCCGACCCTATAAAGTATATATATTCTTGATCAGGATCACCTCCTGAGTTGATATAGCCATGTCCGTCTGTCCGTCTGTCTGTTTCTACGCAAACTAGTCTCTCAGTTTTAAAGCTATCGAGTTGAAACTTTGCACACACCCTTCTTTCCTTTGCACGCAGTATATAAGTCGGAACGGCCGGGATCGGCCGACTATATCCTATAGCTGTCATATAACTGATTGATCGGAAATGCCATAACTCTGCTGTTTGTTAAGTTAGGAAGTTGGGACTTTCTGTGGGTTCTATATTTGGCCAATCAATCCGACGTACCAAATTTCATAAGGATCGGCCGACTATATCTTATAGCTGCCATATAACTGATTGATCGGAAATGCCATAACTTTGGTGTTTGTAAAGTTAGAAAGTTGGAATTTTCTATGGGTTTTATATTTGGCCAATCAATCCGACCTACCAAATTTCATAAGGATCGGCCGACTATATCTTATAGCTGCCATATAACTGATTGATCGGAAATGCCATAACTTTGGTGTTTGTAAAGTTAGGAAGTTGGGATTTTCTATGGGTTTTATTTTTGCCCAATCAGTTCGACATATTAAATTTCATAAGGATCGGCCGACTATATCCTATAGCTGCCATATAACTGATTGATCGAAAATGAAATAACTTTGGTGTTTTTAAAGTTAGGAAGGTGGGATTTTTTATGAGTATTAAAAATGCATCATATGAATAATTTTGGAGAATATAATTTGCAGAATATTCTGCAAGGGTATTTCAACTTCGGCTCCGCCCGAAGTTAGCTTTCCTTTCTTGTTTGTAAATAAAATATAACAAAGCATCAGTAAAACATCAACAAAAAAATTACCCAGCCGAAATGTAAGCAATATGTGTACTTGCAAAGGCTGCCTTGAAGAATTTGTGAGCTTTAAGAGGATAATGATTTTCAGCGGCGAAGTGGTAAATGGGGTCTGGAGATTACTTTTGTCTAAAAAGTATATTGGTGCTTTGGAACTGCAAATAAAACAATAAGTTGGCTATAGTTAAGCATTTCCCGAAACAAGATAAACTTAAACACCAGTGTAAACGGTGCCAAAAAAACAAATTTTGAGATTCGGAAACAATAAAAATGTGTACTGTACGTGCCAAAGAAGCGATAAAAAATTCGTTGGGGAAGCGGTTTCTTACATTTAAGCATAAAAATCGATGCATTATCGTTTTAAAGAATATAACATTTTTTTCGCAACTGTAGCGAGGATAATACGTTTAAACGCCGATCGTTAAACAAAAAATGTATTCGATCGGGTGACTACATTCTCCAAATGTTGATCGTTTGATCGGGTAAAAATAGCTACATTAAGTTGTTTTGAAATATTAATGCACATATCCATATCTCTCCACAGTCTGCTTTTATAAAATCTTTTTCCTCTTAACTAACTTTTTATCTCACTTTTCGTGGCATAGCCAATAAACACTCAGTGGGTTGCAGTTTTTTACCATTTCAGTTTGAGAGGAACAATGGCTCTCGAACACATCCCTTTAGTCATCATATAATTTCAGTGTTGGGAAAGGTACTGTTTTTTATACCCGTTACTCGTAGAGTAAAAGGGTATATTGTATTCGTGCAAAAGTATATAACAGGTAGAAGGAAGCGTTTCCGACCCTATAAAGTATATATATTCTTGTTCAGGATCACTAGCCGAGTCGATCTAGCCATGTCGGTCTGTCTGTCTGTCCTTCTGTCCGTCCGTATGAACGCTGAGATCTCGGAAACTATAAAAGCTAGAAGATTGGCATTTTGCATGCAGATTCTAGGAGTTCCTACGCAGCGCAAGTTTGTTTCAAAAAGGTGCCACGCCCCCCACGCCCACAATCGCTTATATACGATTTTAAAAATTTAAATATTTCGGAAAAGTAAAAATGCAGTTTTATTGTGTTTATCAATACCTATCGAAATTTAGAAGAAATTTTTCAAATCGGACCATTCGTTAAAAAGTTATGCGTGATCTCCATCTCCCTCGCACTCTCTTTACCTGAGTAACGGGTATCTGATAGTCGGGGCACCCGACTATAGCGTTCTCTCTTGTTTTACCTAGGTAAGGTAAAAGATATTGGACAAAAATAAATACCTAGGTAAGGTAAAGGTACTTCAATTTCCCAGTACCTAGGTAAAGGTAAACGGTAAAAATATTGTTTTCTCAATGTTTATAATTTTTTTGTTTATTTATTTGTTTTTTTTTTGTATTATTACATTGGGGAATCAAGATCTTAAAATAAGACTAGGTTTCAATTTTTAGTCATCTTAAAAATATGTAACATTATCTTTTCATTTCATTTCAATCTCAATTTAAATGTTATCATTTTTTTTTAACATAAGCAATGTTTCAAAAAACTCGTCCCCCAGCCTGTTTCGTTTTGGGGTTAGGATTTGACCTCCACAACTAAACAATCTTTCGACTGGCGCAGAGCTGGGCAGAACTGTATTATATTTTAGGAAAACATCAAAAATGCATTTATATTTATGTAAAGCTGATAAATTTTTGTCATGATCACTTAAGTATGCCAAAACCTCTAATTCGAATTTGCAATGCTCCATATCTTTTCCATCTCTTGACTTTACTTGAATACTGGAATTGTAAAATTCTTCACAATCGTTAGTGACAATACTTTCATTAATTAAATTTCCTTCGTGTTCTTTACATTCCTCAATAAGCCACCCTTTAAAAAGTTTTAACTTTTTTTTATCAAGCAATGGAACCCATTTAAGTTTAAATTTTGGGATTGTCATTGCTGACAATACAAAGGGTTTTGACTCTTCAGCGGTCAAATTATTTATAAAAGCAAATCTTTTATAAATACCCGCTTTTAGGGCATCTGCAAGTGCTTCGCAAAACTCGAATTCATTAAATTGTTCTAGCTTGTGAATGATCCCTTGTAATGTGGGCAACAAATATCCAAGATAACAACTATTTTCACCCTGTAATAGATCTATAGCTTTTGCAAAGATATCAGTAACGGAATTCATTTCCTCCAAAAAATTTAGTTCTGTTACTGTAAAATGTGGCTTTTTTAATGCGGAGCATATATTTTTCAAGTGATTTTTCACTTCTAAAATACGTTTAACGCTATCGTGAAACGAGTTCCACCTAGTAGCGCATGGAGCTATAAGCTTGAGATGACAAATTTGTTCTACTTCATCTGCAGCAACCGTTGACCTGCTTACATAATTCCACAAAGACGTAGCTTTTGCAAGAGATGACTGGTACAACCGTTTAAATTGGATGTCCTCAAGAGCCTTCTCTGCATCTTTAGTAACTACTAAGTTTAGAGTGTGGGAAGCGCATCTAAAATGCTTTGGGAGAACTATTTCACCGGCCTCACATACATCGATCTCTATAGCATCGACCTCTGAATCCTCTAAAAATTCAGGATGGATGGAATTCGATCCTACAAATTTATCAAAACTGTATACTTTGAATGCTTTGCTGAAGTTTGAAGTGTTGTCGGTAACAGTGCCGCATATTTGCGAATCTTTTAACCCATATTGAGAATGTATATCTGCCAATGTTTTTCCAATCAATTCATGTGTATGAGAAAAACGTACTCTTTTACATGCCAGAACAACCGAATGCCTCTCTAAATTCGAATCGATGTAGTGCCCGGTGACACCAAAATAACTTTTGTTGCTGGCGCTCCATATATCAGCTGTTGTACAAACGAAAGGGATATCTTTAAGAATATTATTAATATCTAGTCGATATTCCACTCTGCGTTTATCGAACATCGACTTAATAGTTTTTCGGCACGGTATATTAACAGGACGTCCACCAATTGTAGATAGAAGCTCCTTGAAAGATTTTTTCTCGACGTGAGATATCGGTAGCATCTCCGCCACGATGTAGTCGCACACTTTCTGATTGATCTGCAAATATTTAAATAAACACACATTATTATATATTGAGTTATTCAATTTTGTCATTAATTTAATTACCTGGGCTGAACTCAGGGAACCAAAAAACCATTTTAAATTATCCTTAGTAACTTCCATATTCGTCTTGGCTTTCTTAGCTTTCATGGCCTCGTAGTCCGTGTAACAGGTTGGATGAACCCTCTAAATTTGTTGAAATTAAATCCAATTATTTAAAAATATAAGCTTGAATAATTTTATGTATATATTTTTAAAACACACGGCATGAATGTGAATAAGGATAAAATCGCAGTTTTATTATACCCTTGCAGAGGGTATTATAATTTTGGTCAAAAGTGTGCAACGCAGTGAAGGAGACATCTCCGACCCTATAAAGTATATATATTCTTGATCAGGATCACCTCCTGAGTTGATATAGCCATGTCCGTCTGTCCGTCTGTCCGTCTGTCCGTCTGTCTGTCCGTCTGTCCGTCTGTCCGTCTGTCTGTTTCTACGCAAACTAGTCTCTCAGTTTTAAAGCTATCGAATTGAAACTTTGCACACACCCTTCTTTCCTTTGCACGCAGTATATAAGTCGGAACGGCCGAGATCGGCCGACTATATCCTATAGCTGCCATATAACTGATTGATCGGAAATGCCATAACTTTGCTGTTTGTAAAGTTAGGAAGTTGGGATTTTCTATGCGTGTTATATTTGGCCAATCAATACGACCTACCAAATTTCATAAGGATCGGCCGACTATATCCTATAGCTGCCATATAACTGATTGATCGGAAATGCCATAACATTGGTGTTTGTAAAGTTAGGAAGTTGGAATTTTCTATGGGTTTTATATTTGGCCAATTAATCCGACCTACCAAATTTCATAAGGATCGGCCGACTATATCCTATAGCTGCCATATAACTGATTGATCGGAATTGCCATAACTTTGGTGTTTGTGAAGTAAGGAAGTTGGGATTTTCTATGGGTTTTATATTTGGCCTATCAATCCGACCTACCAAATTTCATAAGGATCGGCCGACTATATCCTATAGCCGCCATATAACTGATTGATCGGAAATGCCATAACTTTGGTTTTTGTTAAGTTAGGAAGTTGGGATTTTCTATGGGTTTTATTTTTAGCCAATCAATCCAACCTATCAAATTTCATAAGGATCGGCCGACTATATCCTATAGCTGCCATATAACTGAACGATTGGAAATGCCATAACTTTGGTGTTTTTAAAGTTAGGAAGTTTGGATTTTTTATGAGTATTAAGAATGCATTATATGAATAATTTTGGAGAATATAATTTACAGAATATTCTGCAAGGGTATATTAACTTCGGCTCCGCCCGAAGTTAGCTTTCCTTTCTTGTTATATATAATTTTGTGCCCGTATGTATGCACGTATCACTACATTAATGTATTTATGAAACCCTCATGTACATATTTGGCGCGCAAAATTTTCGTATGTAGAAACTATGTATTGTGCATATGTATATGCCGTATGTTTACGTACTTACGGCATTTTTGCGCGCCAAATACACTTTTTTCTCAATATGTACAAGAGGAAAGTGTATTTGGCGCGCAAAAATTCCGTATGTAGAAACATTTTACTATATATTGTGCATATGTATATGCCGTTTGTTTACGTACATACATACGGCATTTTTGCGCGCCAAATACACTTGGGTTTCATAAATACATTGATGTAGTGATGCGTACATACATACGGGCACAAAATTATATAAAATACAACTGCGATTTTATCCTTATTCACATTTTCATTCTCAAATATGTACATAAGTAATGTATACATATGTATGTACATATCTTACACATAAAAAAACGTATAGGCTTACCTTGAGGTGTTTGTGCAGATTTCCTGTCGATTTATCATCGAATTTTATTGTTTTATTAACACACAACACGCACTTGCCATCCGGGTTAAAAAATTTGCCATTTAATATTAGTGGCAACACTTTCTCATTTGCATTTTCTTTTTCGGCCATGTCTGTCGCGCAGAGTTAAATTGTTTTGTGCATATGTGAAAATTGCAATGCAAAGGTTACATCACAAAACAAACATGAGAATGGCTAAGTTCCCTTGACTTTTAATACTGCGTTCCGACTATTACAATTTCGAAACGAAATTGACGTGTAGATGTGGTGGATTTTGCTTATTTCAATGTCGCAGTCAGATTTGGCTATTTTAAATCAAAGCATTGTTTAATACCTATACAAGTACCTTAATAATTCCGAAGGTATATCAAAATCTGTAACTAGGTAAGGTAAAAGGTACCCAATTATTTGTATACCTAGGCAAGGTAAAAGGTACCACTAAATTGTACCTAGATACGTACCTAGGTAAAAATATCTAGGTATGTCCCAACAGTAAAGTTAGCCTTTTACGCTGTGAGCAAAGCGTTTTCCTTTTTTTGTTTTCAGCATTTTCGCTTGATTTTTTTGAGTTCCGCTCCCAGAACCAACAACAATGGATAGGCAATCCAAAAACGAGAATCCATTTTCGATTTTTCATCATCAATGGGTGGCCTTCTTCTTTTCTGCCTTGCCTTTTTCTTTGGAGTCGTTTTGTTTGTGTTTTCAGCTTTTTTTTCGTTGCATTTTCATTGAATTGCTTTTGGCTCTGGGTCTGGCCATTGTTTACTTCCGTTTCCGGTCGGAAAAAGAGGGGCGGTAGTGGAGTTTCGGGGGTATTGGCATATGCAAATATTTTCAGCATGATTGCACTTTTCTCTCTTTTGATTTCTTGCCTTTGCGACTTTTTATTATCGAATTGATGGAATGAAAAATTTATAAGCATTCCGGTTTGTCGCAGAAATTTAAAAGGTGAAATTAAATTAAAGCGGAAAAGTTTAATCCTGATTCCCTGCGATTTAAAATTGTAACCCTGTCACACTTACATTTACATATCTCCCTTATCTCATTTACTGTGCAATGGATGTCCTTTTCTGAGGGATGTAACAAAGTGAATTTGTTTATTTAACAAAATGAGCTTGGCATTTTCAACGCTTTAAGCAAAATTTGGAGCTCTTTTTTGGCGTTAGTGGAGAGGGTAATTAGGTAAAAATATTTGCACATGTCCTCACTTTAACGTTGCCTTTTAAAACTCTTTAAGAATGTTTAGCTCTTGCTTTCAGGTTGTTTTCATTTAATACCGTGTAAGTAAAAATTAAAATACGCTCACTTTAGCAAATTTGTGTTGGGGACTCCTTTTTATTTTTATCTCGGCAAAAATGTTACAAAATTCAAAGCTTTTTAAAATGTTTTACTTCGCTTTTGTTTTTTCTGAATTAAATCCTATTTAATTTATGAACATTTAAAAAATATATTGTGATAGGAATGTCAAACGTGCTAGCCATTTTATATTTAATTGAGAGAATAGTGTTTTGTGACTTATATTATAACCTTTCAGAGATCACTGCAAATTTAAGAAGAATTATGGTTCAAGAATAATATTTTCTTAAAGGAATGGTAGGGTGGCCATTAGCTTAAGTCGAAAGTTGCAAATATTGATTTATTGAATGAAAAAATCTTAAAAATTTCAGGATTACAATGATACATTAAGCTTACAGGAAATCATAAAATAATTTTATTCAGATTTAAATTTATTCTAACGAATAAAAATTAGAAGCGAAAATATTGGGTGTCACAAGTATTTTGGTAAATGTAAATGAATCGATATAATCAAATTTGGAAGTGTATCTCGGCAATTGACCTGTCACTAGAACACTCGACACAAATTTCTTTATACTTGTAATCTCAGAGGTTCCAATCTAGAGTAAATACTTATCAATAATTTCATTTAAATAAAACTATCAACTTATTATAATAAAACAACAAATATTGGGACTTCTTATTTAAATGGGAAAACCAATCCCATAATATTGTTTCCCAAAAAGATTGAAAGGCTTGCTTTTAATTCCATGACCGAAATACTTTGTCCACCATTGTATACTGCAGTTGGCTTACAAAAGTAAGAATCGAACCTGGGTCTAAATTTATACTGTGGATGCTTTTTAGCCACTCGGCTCCAAAATGAAATTATAGCTTGTAAATTAAATGTAGTTTCCAAGTGAAAATGTGATAGAGAGGAAGTAATAAAAACCATGTGCTACTAGCACCATTTACCACTTTAAAGTCTAACAACAGCAAATATATTATATTTTAGCCAGATGTAATGTATTCTTTTTACTAGCGCTAAAAATAAAGCCATAAAATCGGCATCCCACTGACTTAATCAAATGTTGTTTAGCTGCCAAATTAGGGAGTTTGATCTAGCTGACTAAGTGACAGCTGCAAATCGCTGTGAATTGGAAATCATGTTTGCCAGCACTAAATGAAAAAGAAATTGATAAAAGAAGTTATACGTAGCTGGCAATCATTAAGTTCATCTGTAAGGGAAAATGCAACAATTTGTGGTTTTCCGAAAAACAGGTACAAACGCAAACACTAGTCATAAAGGTAAGGGCCAACACCAAGGGAACACACAAAGACAACAAGCTGCCAATGCACAAGGAGTTGGTAGTTGGTATTGACATAAAGTGAATTGCCTCTTGATTAATTAAAAGCTCTTTGATCATTCTCCCTGTGTGCGTGTGTTTTCCTTGTTCTGCTAAAAATCCACCCCTAGCCCTGTCAAATATTTCTTACTTTCTATCCTCCTATATCCCTCCAATTTTCTCGACTGTTTCCCCTTTTGGCTAAAAAGAAGTGGTTTTAGCCATGTTGTGGGTTTGCCATTGACAAAAGCCGTTGGCAGCAGTCAAGAACAACAGATTTCGAATGTTAAAATACAACTGGAGTTAAAAGGAAATATTTCTTACAAGCAAAAAATCAAGAAGGAGCGTTGGAGTCCAGTGTTACGACTTAATCCTCGTTATTTTTATATCCAATTAAACAAGAAAAGAAAGCTAACTTCGGGCGGAGCCGAAGTTGAAATACCCTTGCAGAATATTCTGCAAATTATATTCTCAAAAATTACTCATATGATGCATTCTTAATACTCATAAAAAATCCCACCTTCCTAACTTTAAAAACACCAAAGTTATGGCATTTCCAATCGTTCAGTTATATGGCAGTTACAGGATATAGTCGGCCGATCCTTATGAAATTTGATATGTCGGATTGATTGGGCAAAAATAAAACCCATAGAAAATCCCAACTTTCTAATTTAGCAAACACCAAAGTTATGGCATTTCCGATCAATCAGTTATATGGCAGCTTTAAGATATAGTCGGCCGATCCTGAAATTTGGTACGTCGGATTGATTGGCCAAATATAAAACCCATAGAAAGTCCCAACTTCCTAACTTAACAAACAGCAGAGTTATGCCATTTCCTATCAATCAGTTATATGGCAGCTATAGGATATAGTCGGCCGATCCCGGCCTTTCCGACTTATATACTGCGTGCAAAGGAAAGAAGGGTGTGTGCAAAGTTTGAATTCGATATCTTTAAAACTGAGAGACTAGTTCGCGTAGAAACAGACAGACGGACAGACGGACATGCTTATATCAACTCAGGAGGAAGAATATATATACTTTATAGGATCGGAGATGTCTCCTTCACTGCGTTGCACACTTTTGACCAAAATTATAATACCCTCTGCAAGGGTATAAAAACAATTATACAATTGAAGTCAATTGCAATTTTTTGAACAGAACTGGTCTACAATAATTATGAGGGCCCTTTAGTCTAAAGTTAGTCTTCATGACTGTTAGTTAAGTTATATTTTTAAGCTTTGATCTACTTATTGTTAGTCTCATTAAAGAGAAGATCCAACAAATAAAGCATATATGTAAAGGTATTCTGATCTGCTAGAGCTGACTTAATTGGCCAACTTGAACTTAATTTTTTTATAGCTTATGTCCCATTAGTATGTATATGCAATACTAAAAAAACGATCAGAATTTCAAAAATAAAAACAAGAGAGAACGCTTTAGTCGAGTGCCTCGACTATTAGATACCCGTTACTCAGCTAAACTACTTAATATAAATATGCCTTCTTGTATGTTTTGCGCCGCTCGAATTAGCACCTTGGCCAGCTGTTCCAAAGTCATCCGTTAGATGGCGCTATTGTACCACGGGCCATGAAAGGCGGAAATGTAGGCGCTAGCCAGGCTTAAGCGTTTAATGGGTTTTTGGGCGTTAGAGTGGGCGTGGCAAACTTTTATTAGGCCAATCGATAGGTATTGACGAAACAAATACATATCAATTAAAATTTTCATAATAGCATCAAAACTGTGGCCACAGCTTGTGGCTTGTGGGCGTCAGAGGGGGCGTGGCACCATTTTGAAACAAACTTGCGCTGCGTAGGAACTCCTAAAATCTACATGCAAAATGCCAATCTTCTAGCTTTTATAGTTTCCGAGATCTCAGCGTTCATACGGACAGACAGACAGACGGACAGACGGACATGGCTAGATCGACTCGGCTAGTGAGCCTGAACAAGAATATACATATATACTTTATAGGGTCGGAAACGCTTCCTTTTACTTTACGAGTAACTGGTATAATGAAGGATCTATGAAATAGTTTTTAAATTTTGTGTTTGTTTGTGTTTGCTTATCACGCCACACAAGGGTGGACCTTGTTTTTGTGCATCCATAGGTCGGCCGTTGTCGTCTGCGGAGACGCCATCAACCCGGTGGCAAGGTTATAATTTTGACCTGTCTTATCAACAAACGAGAATGTACTGAAGGATAGCTGAATAAAAATTATAAATGCCTTTGAAATTAAATAATACATTTTTAATAATTCAACTTAAATTGTAAAACTATTATAACCAATATGGAAATCGTGCAAAAGCGGAATCAAAAGTTTTAAGGTGGTCAACCTTAATTCCGAAAGTCTGCATTTCTTGGAACTTGTTTGCTAAAAATAAAAATAATTGCATTTTTTGTAACTAGAAAGATGAACTGGGCTAAACGAAAATATAGCATTAAGATGGCGTGAGAATCACTAAACATGAATGGGAACGCATGTGGGTTTACTTTAAGCATTGAGTGCAAACACGTAACTAATAGTAAGCCAGACTTAGTTTATGTCTTCATTGAAATACATTTTTTTAGCAGCAACAAGGAAATGGTTTCTCTTGGATAGGATTTATTTATACTCTTTTATTAGATTTCCTTAAAAAACAAACAAATTGAATAATAGATGACAACATATAACAACTACTAAGAATTGGTTTTATATTAAACCATCATCACAAGCACATGCCAAGTTCTTTTAGCCAACCCACTTTGAGATCCACCCAGATGTTTCAAGTGACCAACTCATTTCAGCTCAGTCGAAGACATTCCCCAGCCAAAACAAAAGCCTCTACACACGGACCACGCCACTATTAACATAAGCAAAGCCATCGACTATACTCTATAGATACAAAGACCTGTTGTCTCCTCGAAATGCACCACAATAAATTAATGTCAATTTCTGGAACTACTTTTTACACGAGGAAAGATTGAGTGAAAGTATTACAACATCGTTATTTTATCAGAGGAGCCAGATAAGTTTATTTCCATAATAAGTAAGAACTATTTCTAATATTATTTATATGGCGAATTTATATATTTTGAATAACCCCTACAAAATGTCAAATGAATAAAACTTTTTTCACCTCAGTGTTTATTGAGAATGGCAAAACCGGTTGACAGTCTGGGAAAACTGGCAAGAAAGACAGGCAGATATCAAAGCCTAATGGCGCCAACGACGATTACTGAAAACATAGACATTAAATGCAAAGGAAGTGACATTAATTGCATTGATTTAGCAGGCCCTTCACCCCGAAAAGCTGATAAAAGTTCGCATTGTCTGCCTCCATTATTGGGATGCCTTTAAAGGCAAATCCACAAAAATGTACTGGAAATGGATTCGGGGGCTAAAAGCGAGTTAACCATTTCCATGGGATGGTCATAACGCACTCATTGCGTATGCACTTCCAATTATTTGAAATTGTTACTAATGAGAAAATAATTGGCAATATGCTAATCAAACGGTGGCAGTTGGTCGTCGGTCAGCCCTCCATTCCGATTCCAACATATTGTAAATGAAGCATTGCGAACGGATCGATCTGATTTAATTAAGACGTCCAGCCAGTCGCACGAGCTTTGAAATTTTAGCATAGAATCGGGTCTGACTCTAATGCAGATTCAATTGTTTCAAAAGACTGGGCTTTTAAATTGCCCAGTAAAGTGGGAGAGCTGCTTAGAGTAATATAAAATGTATATTGTATTGAACAAACAAGAAAGAAAGCAAACTTCGACAAGCCGAAGTTTATATACCCATGCAATTATTACATAACATAACATTACTAAAAACAATAAAGCTAAGTCGATTTTGCGCTGAATTTTGGCATTTTTTCTAAGGCAGCTATATTGTTGTCCGATTTTGACAAAACTAAAAGAGTAATTCTGATAAAGTAATTGTTCTTAAAGGAATATTTTAATAAACAGAAAAATAGCAAATTAAAAAATGTTTGTCATGTTTTTTTTTTAATTTTTCGATTAGTCTATTGGAACTATATGATAAATATGTCCGATTTTAATTTAATTAAAACTCCATATACTATAGTATTTAAATATTATCGAATTCCAAAGAACAACAAATAACAATTAAAACATCAAAGTTATATAAAATATTTTTTTGTTACGATTGTTCCTATGGGAAGTTTGCTTCCTTTCTTGTTCATTTAATTATTTGATATTGATACAGGGGTACAAAACCAAACCAAAATTGTAGTTTCCTTAGAAAAATTGGAATAGAATTTTTTTTACAAATTTTTTAAAAACAATATGTATTTTGCTTAAGATATATAATAAGATAATGTAATGCTGGTTTTTGTATTTAAATATTAGTGGTTGAATGGTATTTAAGCTTTGACTTTGACATGTTTTTAACTATGCGACTCAAAAACAAGTCACCATTGCTACAAATATTTTCCACGTCCGAATTCAAGCAAACGTAAGAAAATCTTGAAATATTGGGGCAATGCAATCAGTACCATACAGGTGATTTGGCTTGCAACATGTTGATACAAACATTACTATTAGCACCGGTAGCGAAAAACCATAAATACCTATCGCTCCATAAATACGTTAGCGATTCAGACAATCGGGGCGTGTGCAACATTAATCAAAACTTCAGCCATGTACATAAAATCTCACCTGCAGTAAACCTCCTTTTTTCTTCCGCTTTTTTCAGTTTTTCTCTTTTTGTATGCACTAAGAATTTCAATTTTTCACTCCATGCAACGGTACTCCATAATTTAAAGTCTATATCCGAGCGAGCGTATGTTTAATTGCATTGCTTGATTGATGCATTTTGATTGATTAATGGCGTTTAAAGTGCGTGCGAACAGTCAGCTGTCTTTTATCAGAGGTGCCTCTTAATAAGGTAAACATTTACTTGGAGGCGTTCGCGAATATCAGCCACACAATTACAATTGCTGATCAATTCCAACTTCTTAAATCGCTTTTTAGATTTTCGGTTATATATTAAAACTTCAAAATTATAAAAACAAATAAAAATAATTTGTCAGCTGCCCCACCAAAGAAAAGTCTCAGATAGATTTATAGTTTTTGATCTTAGCTTTATATGGAACATGTTAAATGTTACAGAAAGAAAAATACACACTTTCAGATAAGCCTTATCCTCAGTGCGTTTGGAAGTATCCCTGAAGACAAACATTTGTTGTATAAGGTATTCGAAACAAAACGGAGATCGCCTGAACCGCAAACATTATCTAAAGTCTGTTTTTTAGACGTGTGCTTTTCAAGAAGAAATATAACAAATGCAATTTCCTGTTGCTGCCCAAAATACAGCGTTGTTCTAAAAGTATGAAATATATACATTTGTCGAATGAATTCCATCTGAGGGGTCCAATTTTCCTTCACAAGAAAAATTTGTTTAAATGGGTACGTTAATAGAGCACACCAAACAGTGACTTTTTGGGATGTAAAGGCTTCAAGAATGGTTTGTGGATTACCAATGTTATTTATTAATTTTTGTTTATTAACCCATCCACTAAAATTGAGTTTTATCGCTGAACATTTTCTTTTTAAAATTGGGCCTCTGGGCTGGAAAATATTATAATATAAATCATTTTTGAAACATAATGCCAAATCTTATAAATAATATAAATTCTTTGGTAAAACAAGTCTTAAAAAACATACAAGTGTATCCGAATACTTGAAGATGAAATTAAAAATCATTAAAGTCAACGTAATCTCCCATGAGATTTTATATATCCCCGCCACTAATCGACACTCGATCTAGTCGATTTCATCTCAATGAAATTTTTTAAAATAAAGTAATCTCTATGTTTTAAAGGATCTAATCCATTCAGTCCTAATAATGCAGCAAATCTGGCTCATATATTGTTTTAAGAGAGGACATTTTAAAGTTACATTTCCCACTCAATTTTTTTCTTCTCAGCAGATTTTAGTGATGCTGTAAGAGTGGCATCTGGACAAAAGCTGAATGCTAGGTAAAAACAGTAAGAAAAATACATAAATACTGTGGAGTGAATATCGTGATTAAGCCTAGATCTTATTATTCAGTACCGTTGTATAATAAGGTAAAATATCTCTTGAGTGAAACTAAATGCACGCACTCGAAAATTAATTAGTTAGGTTTTTATAATAAAAGTAAACAGCAATTGCACGGACTTAAGAATAATAATAACAAAAATTCCACTGCTTATTCTGAAAAAGAGAAGTGGACGTCCAAAAAATTATATTTCAGTACCATGTTTATAGACCTAAATTAAGCACGTCGGTAACATATCGACTTGAATTATCAACAACAAGAAAGGAAAGCTAACTTCGGGCGGAGCCGAAGTTGATATACCCTTGCAGAATATTCTATAAATTATATTCTCCAAAATTATTCATATGATGTATTCTTAATACTCATAAAAAGTCCCAACTTCCTAACTTTAAAAACACCAAAGTTATGACATTTCTAATCGTTCAGTTATATGGCAGCTATAAGATATAGCCGGCCGATCCTAATGAAATTTGGTAGGTCGGATTGATTAGCCAAAAATAAAACCCATAGAAAATCTCAACTTCCTAACTTTAAAAACACCAAAGTTATGGCTTTTCCGATCGTTCAGTTATATGGCAGCTATATGATATAGTCGGCTCGTTCCGACTTATATACTACCTGCAATAGAAAGACAACTTTTGGGAAAGTTTCAAGCAGAAAGCTTTAAAACTGAGGGACTAGTTTGCGTAGAAACGGACGGACGGACGGACAGACGGACGGACGGACAGACGGACAGACGGACGGACAGACGGACAGACGGACATCGATCGACTAGATCGACTCTCCTGGTGATGCTGATCAAGAATATATATACTTTATAGGGTCGGAAATGTCTCCTTCACTGCGTTGCAAACTTTTGACTGAAATTATAATACCCTCTGCAAGGGTATAAAAAGCGTAGATTATTATTTTAGTTCGGCTTGATTTCGATTGGATAATCTAACAAACATTTATCTTTTGAACGGTTTTGCATTTTGTTAGGTGCCTGTTTTTTAGGTTTTTTTTTCGATATTTCGATAAGCCGAATTTCTACTAATTTAAAATAGACAAAGTTTCTTTTCTAAAAACATTTCAAAGACTGATCAAACCCGCTGTATTTTCAACAATTATCCTTGTAATTTAAAGAATTGACTTTTGCTTAACAAAGTTTTCTGAACAGTTGAGATGTACGAAGAGCACTGCCGCCGCCAAGCGGGATTGCAGCTCCTGTTGGCTGAGATCATGGGCCCACTCCACGCGACCCCAGAACTTGAGTTGGTCTCGTCCTGCAACGGATACATGTCAGTGGACCGCAGCCCTACACTTAGAAGCAGTCACCCACGTCGTACTGGAAGAGCACCGTTGAGCAGGTAGTTGACCATGTCCAGCTTGCTGAGGTGGTTCGGATTGTCGATGGCCGTGAAGCAGAGGGTGGACAGGTGCATGCGGGAGCGCTCGATGTGCTCCTTCTGGGCGTCGAACTCCGTGGCCACCGCAATGGCGAGTGGTTCGCTGCGCACCAGAAAGGGCGTCCCCTTGGGCGTCTTCAGTTTCCGGTGGTCCAGCACCACCTCATAGCCGCCGTCGCCGCTCAGCACGGACGTCTTCTTGTAGAACCGCTTGGGAGGAGAGGCTGCCGTGGGAAAAAACAGCACGCCGAATGCCGGCTGGTTATGAAGTGCAAACAGAGGTTTACGCCGATGTCTTTGTCGTCGACGGCGGCGTTTACTTTTATTATAAAAATCTAACTAATTAATTTTCGAGTGCGTGCATTTAGTTTCACTCAATAGATATTTTACCTTATTGTATATACAATGCTACTGAATAATAAGTGCCAGGCTTAATCACGATATTCACTTCCCAGTATTTAGGTATTTTTCTTCCTGTTCTTACATAGCATTCAGCTTTTGTCCAGATGCCACTCTCACAGAATAACTAAAATCTGCTGAGAAGAAAAAAATTGAGTGGCAAATGTAACTTTAAAATCCAGTTTTGCTGAAGTACTAAGATTTAATGGATTATATCCTTTAAAATATAGAGATTATTTTATTTTAAAAATGTGCAGTCGTTAATTTCATTGAGATAGTAGATGAAATCGACTAGAACGAGTGTCGATTAGTGGCGGGGATGTGGAAAATCTCATGGCAGATTACGTTGACTTTAATAATTTTTACCAATCTCATTTTTAAGTATTCGAATACACTTGTATGTTTTTTAAGACTTGTTGTACCAAAGAATTTATATTATTTATAAGATATGCCATTAAGTTTCAAAAATGATTTATATTGTAATATTTGCAAGCCGAGAGGCCCAATTTTAAAAAGAAAATATTCAGCTATAAAACTCTCTTTTAGTGGATAGGTTAATGAACAAAAATTAATGAACCAAATTGTGTCATTTGGAGTAATGATAATCCACAAACCATTCTTGAAGCCGTTACATCAAAAGTCACTGTTTGGTGTGCTCTATATTAACGTACCCATTTAAACAAAATTTTCTTGAGAAGGAAAATTGGACCCCCCAGATGGAATTTATTTGACATAGCCATTATGTATTTCATATTTTTAGAACAGCGCTGTAAAAAACACACGTCTAAAAAACAGACTTTAGATAATGCTTGCGGTTCAGGCGATCTCCGTTTTGTTTCGAATACAACAAATGTCTGAAAGTGTGTCTTTTTTATTGGGAAGCGATCCACCAAGTAACATTTAACATGTTCCATATAAAGCTAAGATCAAAAACTATAAATCTATCTGAGACTTTTCTTTGGTAGGGCAGAAATCCAACACTAAAGCCATCAAAGGTGTAAGTGCGCTTTATTGGTTTAAGTCATTTTGGACCATTACAGGTGAAAGGTGGAAAAAGTTGGAAGTTTGGAATATTTGAATTTGCAGTTTTGGAGGAAATTTACTCAAACTTTATGAACCGTTTTTAGAGCCATTAACCCCAAGTTAAAGAGATTTCAGGAACCAAAAAATATTAATTTCGATTTAGTCATTTATTTATATAATAAATAACTATAATCTTTGCTAATTTAAATAGTAAATCCATATCTTACATATTCTTAGGAAGTTTTTGTCACAGCATTGAGCTCTTGTCAGCGTAATGGTAAGCTAAAATTGAAATTTTTTTGTTACTCTGAAACAATTTTGAAAACTTTACCAATTTAGCAAGAGGCTAAATAAATTATTGTTTTTTTCTCTTGAAAGCTACTCCTTTTATTACTAAATGCAATTTTGAAAATGCCAAACAATGAGTAACTAATTACCCACAAACTGTTCGAATAAAGATGGTTACAACTAGCGAGCACCTCAAAAGAATCTTTTAATTTGCTTAGTAAACCAACATGGCTAGATCAAAGACCAATAAAATTGGTATATTGGTATATATTGGTCTTTGGCTAGATCGACTTATTTTTCAAATATTACATACTATACGAGTAACTGGTACAAAAATTGTCCCCAAGGGATTAAATCAAAGACCTGCGTTTTTGCCATATGACTTATAATTTAGAATATATTTTATTTTTTTTGTGGACTCTACTATATCATTTATTCTTGTATTGATTTGCCAATATGGTTAAATGGAGATGAATTTCACGTGTGTCCACTTAACGTATCCGTTCAATTTCTATCGCGGACAAATTATTTTTATTTGTTTTAATAATTTTGCAATTTTAATATATAACCGAAAATCTAAAAATCGATTTGAGAAGCTGGTATTTGGGGCTTGATTATATGCAAATGCATCAAATTGATCAGCAATTGTAATTGTGTGGCTGTTATTCGCGAACGCCTCCAAGTAAATGTTTACCTTATTAAGAGGCACCTCTGATAAAAGACAGCTGACTGTTCGCACGCACTTTAAACGCCATTAATCAATCAAAATGCATCAATCAAGCAATGCAATTAAACATACGCTCGCTCGGATATAGACTTTAAATTATGGAGTACCGTTGCATGGAGTGAAAAATTGAAATTCTTAGTGCATACAAAAAGAGAAAAACTGAAAAAAGCGGAAGAAAAAAGGAGGTTTACTGCAGGTGAGATTTTATGTACATGGCTGAAGTTTTGATTAATGTTGCACACGCCCCGATTGTCTGAATCGCTAACGTATTTATTGAGCGATAGGTATTTATGGTTTTTCGCTACCGGTGCTAATAGTAATGTTTGTATCAACATGTTGCAAGCCAAATCACCTGTATGGTACTGATTGCATTGCCCCAATATTTCAAGATTTTCTTACGTTTGCTTGAATTCGGACGTGGAAAATATTTGTAGCAATGGTGACTTGTTTTTGAGTCGCATAGTTAAAAACATGTCAAAGTCAAAGCTTAAATACCATTCAACCACTAATATTTAAATACGAAAACCAGCAGTACATTATCTTATTATATATCTTAAGCAAAATTCATATTGTTATAAAAAAATTTGTAAAAAAATTATATTCCAATTTCCCTATGGAAACTACAAGTTTTTTGTTTATATATAGCTTAATTGTTTTTAGTAATATAGACATAGAAATTTAATCGTTTTGTAATTACTGCAAGGGTATACCATATATATATATATATTATATATGCTTCGGCTTGCCGAAGTTTTCTTACTGTCTTGTTTTTTCTAAGGTATTGAAAGATTTAACTTTAAGGTAATTAAATACTCTTGCCAATATAAGAGATATGTATATGTGTTTACTGGGCAATTTAAAAGCCCAGTCTTTTGAAACAATTGAATCTGCATTAGAGTCAGACCCGATTCTATGCTAAAATTTCAAAGCTCCTGCGACTGGCTGGGCGTCTTAATTAAATCAGATCGATCCGTTCGCAATGCTTCATTTACAATTTGTTGGAATCGGAATGGAGGGCTGACCGACGACCAACTGCCACCGTTTGATTAGCATATTGCCAATTATTTTCTCATTAGTAACAATTTCAAATAATTGGAAGTGCATACGCAATGAGTGCGTAATGACCATCCCATGGAAATGGTTCCCTCGCTTTCAACCCCCGAATCCATTTCCCGTACATTTTTATGGATTCGCCTTTAAATGCATCCCAATAATGGAGGCAGACAATGCGAACTTTTATCAGCTTTTCGGGGTGAAGGGCCTGCTAAATCAATGCAATTAATGTCACTTCCTTTGCATTTAATGTCTATGTTTTCAGTAATCGTCGTTGGCGCCATTAGGCTTTGATATCTGCCTGTCTTTCTTGCCAGTTTTCACAGACTGTCAACCGGTTTTGCCATTCTCAATAAACACTGAGGTGAAAAAAGTTTTATTCATTTGACATTTTTTAAGGTCTATGCAAAATATATAAATTCGTCATATAAATAATATTAGAAATAGTTCTTACTTATTAAATAAACTTATCTGGCTCCTCTGATAAAATAACGATGTTGTAATACTTTCACTCAATCTTTCCTCGTGTAAAAAGTAGTTCCAGAAATTGACATTAATTTATTGTGGTGCATTTCGAGGAGACAACAGGTCTTTGTATCTATAGAGTATAGTCGATGGCTTTGCTTATGTTAATAGTGGCGTGGTCCGTGTGTAGAGGCTTTTGTTTTGGCTGGGGAATGTCTTCGACTGAGCTGAAATGAGTTGGTCACTTGAAACATCTGGGTGGATCTCAAAGTGGGTTGGCTAAAAGAACTTGGCATGTGCTTGTGATGATGGTTTAATATAAAACCAATTCTTAGTAGTTGTTATATGTTGTCAGCAGACAGAGGTACTATGTTCAAGAACATGATATCTTAAAGAGATTTAATTGACCTAATTATTATTCCATTTGTTTTTTTTACGAAAATCTAATAAAAGAGTATTAATAAATCCTATCCAAGAGAAAAAAATTTCCTTGTTGCTGCTAAAAAAAATGTATTTCAATGAAGACATAAACTAAGTCTGGCTTACTATTAGTTACGTGTTTGCACTCAATGCTTAAAGTAAACCCACATGCGTTCCCATTCATGTTTATTGATTCTCACGCAGGATCTGGTCACGCCATCTTAATGCTATATTTTCTTTTAGCCCAGTTCATTTTTCTAGTTACAAAAAATGCAATTATTTTTATTTTTAGCAAACAAGTTCCAAGAAATGCAGAACAGAAATAAGGTTGACCACTTAAAAACATTTGATTCCTCCTTTGCACGATTTCAATATTGGTTATAATAGTTTTACAGTTTAAGAAGAATTATTAAAAATGTATTATTTTCTTTTTAAGGAATTTCTAATTTGTAGTCCACTATCCTTTAGACAAGGTCCTTAGAATTATAAAATAAAACAAGAGAGAACGCTATAGTCGGGTGCCCCGACTATCAGATACCCGTTACTCAGGTAAAGGGAGTGCGAGGGAGATGGAGATAGAAACTTTGATCACGCATAACTTTTTAACGAATGGTCCGATTTGAAAAATTTCTTCTACATTTCGATAGGTATTGATAAACACAATAAAACTGCTCCGTCTGTCCGTATGAACGCTGAGATCTCGGAAATTATAAAAGCTAGAAGATTGGCATTTGCATGTAGATTTTAGGAGTTCCTACGCAGCGCAAGTTTGTTTCAAAATGGTGCCACGCCCCCTCTGACGCCCACAAGCCACAAGCTGTGGCCACAGTTTTGATGCTATTATGAAAATTTTAATTGATATGTATTTGTTTCGTCAATACCT